TATATATATATATATATATATATATATATATATATATATATACTCTGTATCTGCATGCAAAACTTCAAATACAGAAGATAAATATCTTAGTTGAGAGAAACGATATTGTCATAGAGATAGACTAGCGTAGAGAATAATTTTCGGTAAGTTATAGAAATCGATACTTTCGCAAAATGAAAAAAGAGAACAGATGCGAGATTGTAATTAACAACCACCTAATGGGAAGCTGTTACTGGTGATCAGAGTAATCACGGGTATTTGCACGCGAGAAAAAAAGTGTTTCTTTACGTGGAGACCGATCACAAGTCGCGTTAATCATGCTTTTGTATGAAGACGATTCGTTCCGCGACACCCCCATGTGCATGACTTTAAACATGGAAATCGCTCTAATGTTTGCAGCAACATCCTCCCACGTAGTGCGACCTTTCATCAAGCGGTAGATGAAAGTGGCATGACGGTGGGTGGGCATTTGCAGAGGAGTGAGACGATGCCTCACTCTGTGGCACAGCAAGGAGAACAGGAGAGAGAAAAGGAGAGACTGGAAATAAGCAGTCTTTGGTCTCAGAATAAGGATAGTGTTACATCCAGCCTCTCTAGCTTAGGATCTAGTCTTAAACTTAGTTTCGGGTAAGACTGTGTGAGATATTTTATTCGATTTACGTGTGCACACGTTGTTCGTACTTGAACAACGGATTTTTCACAGTGCATTGTGTTTTGATTCTGCCAAAGCGCGATGACAAGTTTGCGATGAACAGTCGCTCTCCATTCTGTAAATATGAAAAGAAGGGAGTATGTGCAATTTGCGTTTTTATTTCAACAAACGCAAACTGCGCAGAAGAAATCTCGATATTGACATTAAAAAGAAATGTGTATAAAATTCGATGTAGTAATCAAATGGTAACGATGGATGTCTGTCATCGCGTTTTTGCTGGCAGAAATGATATGATTTTGTTTCCATTTATCGTTCTGCATGTGTATTTGAGTTTGTTTTATTTTATTCACTCAAATATAGACGATATTCCACGAGTGGATTCGCTAAAAATAAGGATTTTTCATCATCGAATCAACTTATTGAATCTCTTAGTCTGTCCAGCTACATCAGGTACGTAATCTCAATGTTAGTTATACATATGTGGTTCGATTAGACGTTCTCTTTATTTCTTCTCTCTTTGTATGCTTCCTCGTTATTACAAGACGCTCCGCACGTTTGCAACGTACACCAATGAACTTTACTGCTGCTTATTCTTTCTATATCCTATGCGGATATAAATCTCTGTTTTAGCCCATCGAGTTTGACAGGAAAGAAGTCCAACGAGATTATACTCGGCGGTCTGAATAGTTTGAAGTCCGCCGCGACAACTGTCGTGAAAAAGTTCGATGAGATCAAGGAGGCCATCTCAGCGACAAGCACGCCGGTAAAGATCAAAGAACGCGAACAAAAGTTAGCTTACGGAGTGTCGCATGAGTCTCTGGATTCTCTCACCGACGGATCCTTGCAAGATCGAAACGAAGTCTCCACCAAAGCGTCAGGTATCAGTCAGTAGCAAAGAGATTACAACATTTGTTTCTCGATGAGCTTAAGAACGCATCCGGTATCGAAACAAGAAAATTAATCCTCTGAGAATTATTGAACAACAAATTTCTCTCATTGGATATAGATACGTTGCTAAACTCGTCGGGAAAAAACTGTTGCAATTTTCCTAGCGATTATATGTAACTTAGATAACGATAGAAATTATATGTTTGTGCCATGATCACTTCTGATGGTCTTTTCTCGATTCCAACAGGCGATGGGAGTTTAGATCTATGTTCGTTATACGAGCTCGCGGAATGTTTATATCCAAAGGGCACTAGAGAGTTGGAGGAACGTCTTGCCATCGAACTTGTACTCTCCAGCGCCAGTAGATGTCATCATTGTGCCGCGATCCTGTACGACGAGGAGATCATGGCCGGCTGGCAACCGGAGGACTCCAATTTGAACACGGTTTGCCAGTATTGCGACAAGGCTACCGTGCCTCTCCTCACGGTTACCATATTGGATTACAGGTAACAGAGGCGGCTGCACTGATCATGGATGATCCTCGAAGATGAACAACAAAATTAAGAATACATTCGTTTCTGCAGATGCGAGGCGAGCGGGAAAACCAATGATCCTTTGATGGGAGCATTGGTGGAGTTGTTGGATCAACCGAAAGAATCTTTGGAACCGATAACAGTGCCGTATCTGAATCCGTTGGTTCTGAGAAAAGAATTAGAAAGCGTGCTCAGTCAGGAGGGCGATGCTTGCCTCACCAAACACAGGTTCATCCAGGAACACCCGATAGTATATTGGAATCTGATATGGTACTTCGAGAGGATCAACTTGACGAGTCACCTGCCTGATCTCTGGTTGAACAGCGATAAGAACACGGAACCGCGAAGAGTCGTGGGTTCGGTGGGTGTCAGAACTATGTGGGATAACGAACGACTGCACATGGATCGTTTGCCCATGTATCTTCAATGGAAATTGAATTCTACGGAAGACAGAACGTGAGTTTTCGCAAATTGTCCCGCGATTTACTTAGATTTTACATGCAGTTGGTGCGAAGCTACCATTAATTCATTAACATATTAATTTTTACAAACATATGAGACAATTGATAATTTATGCTATCGCGTTAACGTACTATTTCTTATTCTAGACTGATGCAAACGGTGATAACATATGTCCGTTGCAACGACTTAGCGGAACCTATAGTAAGAGTGGCCTTAGAAAGAAGTAAACATCAAACAGGGGATTATCCGTTTTCTATATATAGGGATATCCTGTTCCTGGCATTTACGATATTAGGCAGAACGAATATTGACCAAGGTAGGCAAGTTGCGCAATCAAAGACGATTGAGTAATAATTCACGTAATCTTAAAAAGACTGAGATTAAAAGAGAGAAGATAAGTTATAAAAGGATAAGATTAAGAAGGCAATAACTGTAAAAAGATTAACATCAAGAGAAGATTAATCTGCAATCACGAAAAGATTAAAAGAAGATTAATGCTGCAATTCTAAGCAAATATACGAGTAAATCGTAAAGTCGTAGCTTATGAATGAATCGTCCACTCATAAGTTCTTACGAATCTTACGAGAGCAAGTTACGAGCTTTACGATTTTGTCTAAAATTGCGATATAAGATAAAAAGAAAATCATATAAAATATTCCGAGAAACATTATGAGATTACGTCATTAATGTCAACGCTCGTCTCATACAGGTGTCTTCGATAGGGAGTACGGTTTGTCGCTGGAGAAGTTCTCCGAGAATGAGGAGAAATTGTTGCATAAGATCGACGCACCGCCGACGACGATGTCGGTATACTGCAGGCATTATTTCAAACAGTTGAACGTGTGAGAGGAGCGCACAAGTCCCGAAGAAACTCGAGAGACGAGAAGGAGAAAAGACTATTCCTGAGTTTCCGAGACATCGGAGTAAGTGCGCGAATAGCGAACAAACGTTCGCGCGACTCTCCGGGACTTCACCTTCGCGACCGAATCCAATTTCACGCGAAGAACGACGCATTACCACGATGACGATGATCGACCGCGCTTCGTCGCGTCCCGAAACGTCCGGTCGTAACGTCATCATCAACATGGTGATAATGTCTGCTACATGTTAAATGTTTATTATTATCTAACACAGTTGATTATTAATGTTATCATGATGATTTTTACGCTCGAGTCCGGTCTAAAGATCGCGAGAAGCGAGAGAAAGGAACAATCGGCATCGTAGCGTCGGCGAATCGACGATCGTGAATTAAACTAACGTGACCTCATCCTCGTTTCCTCGCGAGACTCCGCTTAAAACTCGCTGACAAAGTGATACTTGTCTCTTGCTTGCGCAAACGCGTGGCCGGATCGCCGGATTCGGCGGGCTTCAGTTCTGTACGATTCTCGCACTTCGATCGCGCACACACTGCGAGAGAGAACCGACGAGCGAAAGGGAGGAGAGAAAGAGTAGCTATCGGGATCGGTCGCATCGGCAGTACATTGCTCGACGCTGATCAGCCGTGGCTGTCTATGCTGCCGATTCCGCGATTAAGAAAGACATTAGATCGGTGCAATAAGAGAGTTGAACGATAATAACGATTTCTGAACTAATCGTATCATCTCCAATCTTCGTATGTTTATATTGTAATTTGTTTTTAACTTGGAGTTATCGTATAGTTCGTCTCTTTTTTTTGCGAATTGAGTCGCGCATGCCTCTGACTTGTGATTCAATGACTCGCGCATCGCATTAGCAGTATCTAAGAGTACAATGTTGAAAAGTGTGTCGAGTACCAAAGAACTTATACGGGACTGTCGAGCGATTGCAAGTTCAATTCCCTCCAGGTGTGCTGTGACCTTTAAATACGTTTCAGTTCAACATGTAATTATTCGTACTGTAAAGAGCAAAAGGAAAAGAGAGAGAAGGGACATTGAAGAAAACTTAAAAGAAGAAAGGCTGTCGTGTACACGATGTTAAAGGCAGCGCTTTATATGCCAACTATTTTTTTTACCATGATAAAAGAAAAAAAGAAAGAGAGAAAACGAGAGATTTTGTGTGCGTAACATGACGAAACACAGTATTCTTTTCTTGTACTCTTAGATAGAAACGATCATTAATTGCACGACCAACACACATACACAGACAGACAGACGGACACAGAACGCAAGTACCGTTTATCTAATGTCCTAGGTGAAAAGTGTCCTTTTACGGGCGTGGCGTTGGGACTCTACTACTTATATATCTCAAATACTTAATGTGAGAGTGAATATTTTTATGAATTTTAGAGGCATTTGTAATGTCATTAGCGGACTTAGTTAGAGATGATGCTGTCCACGAATTATTCTTCATCAAAATGAGATAATAATGACGACGAGACCGAGTTCGTTGCGAGAGGAGATTCATAATTCGCGCGGACTACTCTCGATGTGCCGTATGCACTTTTCACCCTGGACACCCGCGGATGAATGTATGTTCATTCATTACAATACTATCAATGTAGGTCATAAAAATAAAGTCAGTTGAGGTATTTTACAGAAGTAGTTCGTTTCACTTGGGACTGTTAAGCTCGTTCAAGACTGATCTAACATTACCAATAGCACATTGCTCCCATCTCTCCTATAATTACTTTCGCAATTTTAACTGAAAAAGGAAGAAATCTCATATTAATCTCATTATATAGTTATTTTTTGACTATTTTGCTCTAAATCTATCTAATTCTACCATGTTTCATGGTAAATTCCTAATAATTCATCCTCAAATATTACGATATTTAGTCCTCTTGTGTTATAGACGGTAAACAGTAAACAGAGAAGCGACATGCGAAGTTTCTGTAGTTTTATTAGAATAAATTATATAAAACCATCTTAAGGCATAACTTCAAATTCAACTATTAGAGTCCTTGATTGAAAACAAAAGTACAAAATAAAATGTTCAGTGATAAGTTGAGAGACTGCACAAAACATGTGCGGCTTGATATTTAACACGTGTATAATCAACACAATTGACTATTTGAAAAGTACTACGGAAGTGTCCGTGGAGTTTCCGCGTTGTACCAAAAATGTCATCATTCCGCTTTAGAAGTGTACGCCTTATAACATTTTTGAAATATTTCTGAAAAGTATTTTGTTACTACAGACAGTAACGCTATTAAGATTAGACGACCAACTCTGTTCTCGCATGATGTAAATAAAATAGCGAACGTCATGTAGAAACTCATACATTTTTTATACATATGTAGTATGAAATTTTGACGCGACATGACGACGACTCTATGTACTCATAGCATTATCGTCTTCTTCTTCGTCGACATTGTCGTCGTTGTCGTCGTTGTTGTCCGCGCTGTCGTCCGCGCTGTGATCATTGTCGGACTCAATATTTTTAATATCCTCTTCGTCCTGCTCATTTTCCTCATTCTGCTGCGACATCTCCTCCCAATTATCATCAGATTCGCTGCTAGAGTTAACGTCGTCTACATCGAGAGCTTCATCCGATGAATCTACAAACATTTCGAGCGACGTGGTTCAGTATCAGCTCTAATTTAACCGAACTTTTTGTGACAAATTTATGCACGAAGAAACGAATATCTTCAACGTAATGATCCACTAACCTTGATCCCGATAAACAAGCAAAGCCTCCTGAGTTATGTACTTGTCGTGTTCCTCATTGGTCTGCGATATCAAACCCGTCACAAGGGATACCCTGCCTTTTAATCTTTGTACCTGTGTGAAAAGATTCAACTTGTCGTCGATGAAACTCAGAAAAGGACTAAGCATCTGCGCCCTGTCCGATCGCGACAACAGATGCGCTCCGTAATTCGTGATCAAGATTTGCAGCCACTTTACCGCGACTTTGCATCTAAACGGAAATAGAAATAATGTCTTTAATTGGCAAGGATCGAGCACAAACTTTATATCAGCTCTCACAAGAAAAAAGAAACAAAGAAGTCTTATATAGGACTTAAGAAATAATATAATAATGTAATTACGCATATGTTTTGCCTTGCAACATGACGATTAACTCTTTGAGCAACGGTATTATCGCCTGCGCCGGCAATTTTGCGACAGTATTGCGAATCATGGTTTCGTTTTTCGTAAACAACACCGTGGTCAGGATATTTTTGTCTTTGGAGTTTAATCCCTGTATCAACAATTGCGCCATGTTTGCTCCTTTCGTCGGTGATCTACCTGGCGTATTCGCATCCGCATTCAAGCTAAGATTCTCTAATCGATCCTTCAGTAGTAACTGCGAACCGCCTGACATTGTCCTGACTCTCTTTGTTGCTGAGACTCCCGTTCCTGCGCCATAAACGAATAATTGTAAAGCTCCTTGATTAAAATCAAGCAAAAATATATAAAACAAAGAAGGATAATACGAACTGATTGCAGGTGCAATTGGCTTATATTTACAATATATAGTAAACGCGCGCGGCATTGTTATTTCTTATTTATTTTCGCTGAATTGTGAAAGTATATCTAATTATCTCCAAAAGACTTCACGTCACTAGCGACAAAGCTACTTTCCGGAAGAGTGTAGTGAGTGTTATTATTCGTACGGGGCGAATTTCTTCATCACAAACTCTTTCGTTGTCGTCAATGCGAGTGTTTGAAATTACCTGATCCATAGTACTTGACGTTTTCATCCTCCCTCGTAGGCATCACTTTACTAGACTCTATTTGCGTCTTCTCTTTCGGGTTCCTCACGCCCGTTCTGATCAAACGTTGTTCTTTGTTGGAGAAGTCTGGTACAATCTTCTCGAACGTCAAACTAATGTCGTTATCATACACCAACAGTACCTTCTCGTCATCAGTCAAATGACCCGCTACGATAGGGATCTTCTGCGTGACTTCTTTCTGCTTAACGTCCAAGACAATTTCGATACTGAGAGTCGGTTGCAATGGTTTCGTACGACCGTTCGGTTGATACTTGTATAGTAACGCTTTACCCAAGTCTGTAGTGGCTAACACGACGATTTGCGAATTCTCCGTGACTAACGTCGATATGGACGTAGTCTCTCCTTTTTTGCACAACCATACTGTCGCTGTCTTGTCATTTTTGTGCTAAACAAATACAAAATGCAACTTCAAAACTAAAAACTGGCCTACTATTTGACACGTGAGATAAATCAATTGCAAAAGCGAGATGCATGTATTAAAGTTATCTTTGTGTCGTAATGAAACTACACAAAGGGAACTGCTATATGAAATACCAATGACAAATCTGGTTAAATCCAAGATAAAGTCTTTGTGGAAGGATACCGAGAAGTTTTCATACTGAGATTTTCATTAAAAAAAGAAAAGAGAAGAATAAAATAGATGGCAGCTAAATGTAAAATTAGACAATTTCTTTTAAAGCCTATTTAAAATTAAATAACGAAAATGAATGTTCCTATATTGGATATCTGAAAAGTCATTATGCAGCCGCTAAACAGTCTGTGTAATTATAGATCATTCCATACATTGAGAAACAAACATAATATAAAAAAATAATATAAAAACAAAAATAAAATAAAAAAACAATAAATAACAATAAATTGTACCTTGTCCAACAACCATATACCAAGATAGTTTTCCATACAGGCACTGCTGACCAGATAGTTAGTTTCATGATCTATTTTAACAGGACGAAGAAAGGTGACTTGGTGGGTATGTCCAGTAAATGCACGAATCAACTGTTTTGTCGCCAAGTCCCACCACTTGACTGCTCCATACTGTCCCGCGGTCAACAAAGACTTCCCGTCTTCTAGAACCGCCAGTGCCGTGACTTTTTCATCGTCCGATTTCCACTTGCACTTGATGCCATTCGGTTGGCCATTCCATTGCACCAGATGACAGTCGTCTAAGGCTGCGATTAGGCCAGTGCGGGCCGACCATGTTAACGCCGTACAAGCTACGCCACCGTCGTTCTTCAGCGTAGTTGTATGCGTCGATGACAAGTTGTACAATGCAATTTCGCCGACCGACGTTCCTATGGCCACTATTTTGTGATCTGCATCCTCCGAATTTGACTTTCTTCTGCGTCGTTTCCGTGGTAATTGCTTGAAACCCATGGAAAGACGTTTCATTATTATGATAGAAAAGTAAGTATTTTTAATTATCTCTCTGCTCATTGTATCCAATTAATGTGAGAAAAATATATTTGTTTTGTGTAATCTCATACTGCACTCTACATCAGCACTGATGGACTATTCCTTGGTCTATTCTTTGCAGTTGCACTATTGAACTGGTGCAATAAGTTAGAGTGAGAAAATATACTTGTCTCACTTTAACTTATTGCACCAGTTCAGCAGTGCAGCTGAAAAGAACAGACCACTTGTATTTCAATCGTCTCGAGACTCAGGTTTTAGGTATTCACTTAGCCAATGTCTTTTTGCCTTTTAAGCCTTGTTTCATTAACCTCTTGATGAGCTAATTTAAAGTTAAATTTTGTTTGTTTTCATTTATTTTGAAGGAAAAATGAAGATTGGCAAATGATTTAGCCGTTAGCTTACCAAGAGGCTGAAGAAACTGAGTCTTGGCTTAACTAGAATGAATTAATTAGTTAATGGCACAGCCTTACAACAACTTAAGACCACCTCTCTTTAAGATAGACTCAAATACAAGATTGAATCATATATATCCAGCTAGATTATCAAATTAACATGTTATGTACTTCGTGTCGCGCAGGTAAAATTCGAGTGAAGCAAAATGTCGATTGCAGCTCACGAGGATGAGGATGGCAAGATATGACAATGGCGTGTTTCAAATAAATCGCTGGCAGAGCGTGTAGTGCGCGTGTACCGTAACTCTTCGAACGGTACGTTAACATGTCTGAAGAAGACATCACGAATAAGATAAATATGTACTTCAGCATTTCCGGGAAACTCGACAACGGCTAATACGTACGACGAGTATATAAATAAAGCAAAAAAAGAAAAACCTCTTTCAGACATCGCCTGACACGTGTCCTCTCGTCTAGAGTACATATAAATGCAATTACTTTTGTATTTAGTTAGCTCTAGGAGGTATTTCTGTGTAAATGATTTCCGTTCTTTCATCACGCATATTGAAAAGTACTGATCACGTAAATGAATGAGTAAGAAAAGAAAGACGGCCGCGGCGTAGATTCCCACAGCGGCGATACGAGCACATGGTCAACAGTACCATAACCTACCCACGTGTGTTCCGCCGACTGCGAACTCACGGACATCCATTCTAAGACGCCGCACGGTGTCGCGAGATGTTGATTATGCGTGTGTTCATGCTTAAATCGACTGGTCGCGGTGTCCCAAATCTTCAAACTGCCATTAACACCACAAAAAGCATAATATTGTCCATCCGGAGAGAATAACCGTGTTCCTACGACCGCCATTTTACTCAAACCAACTCAACCGACTCACTATCATGAAACGGATAACTGATACGTAGAGTAGGTGCATCCAGGGTACTTATTGGGTGCTTTCCAGCTATGCACACTGTGTTACACAAAACTAGTTTATTGGTGGCATATTATCTTACAAGATATTTTAGATAATATATGACCAATAAACTGGTTTTGTGTAACACAGTATAACGTAGCTGGAAAACACCCATTATGGACTTCTTCGGAATCAATTCCGATCGGAAACATTCAGTTATTTGCTAGATTTCTATTATCTTTTCTAGGAAAAACGGAATTATTTCGATCGAATTAATTCCGAAGAAGTCCATAAGTCCAGAGTCACGATAGATGTAGTAAGCTTTAAGCCTTAAGAAATTGACTAATCACAGTCGATTATTCTCCTCAAATTTGACTGTGATTGGTCAATTTCTTAAGGCTTAAAGCTTACTACACCTATTGTGGATCGAGACTAATGGCTTCTGCACACAGGACGCGGTAATGCTTGTCGCGCGGCGGAAGTCAGCGCGACAGCCAATCAATATGTTGTTTTTCCGTAAGAGCTAGAAAATTATTACGGAAAGCAGCATATTGATTGGCTGTCGCGAGAACTTCCGCCGCGCGGCAAGCATTACCGCGTCCTGTGTGCAGGAGCCATAATAGGTACCCAAAACATGGACATATGCCCAATTTCTTCACCTCCAGTTAACTTTATCTGCCAGGTATTCTATTGGAATTGACCAATCATATTTATAGACAAGATTAATCAATCACGGTTGACATTTATCCGACAAATAAAGTTAACCGGAGGTGAAGAAATTGGGCATTAAAGCTGGCCACTCTCCCCTTGTCCACAACCTTGCTTTAATCTTTAAGTCGTAAGATATTGACCATTATTTTTAAAATAATCGACTATGATTGGTCAATTTCTTACGGCTTAAAGATTAAAGCGAGATTGTGGACAAGGGGTATGAATACCGGCCTAGGGCTGGCATAGTCGAATCTTATTTCAAGATCGTCTTAAGTAATGTTTTAAGATGCGAATATGGCTCTGTGATTGGTTCATAACATCTTAAAACAGTACTTAAGATGATCTTGACCCATATTCTGAACCCTCTTTTATCGATAAAAGTGCCTTGAATATAGCTTCTCAGCCAATCAGATAACTCCTAAGCCTCTTTTAGAGGCACTTTTATAGATAAAAGAAGATTAAGAATATGGGTCCTTAAATATAAGATCGGACTATGGGCGCGGTCCAACAACCGTTACAAATGCTGCGCAGCGTTTCTCGCTCTTGTTTTATTTCTCAAATTCGAATAAAGAAAGAGAAAGAAGTAAAAACGCTATAAAGATTTGCAGCGCCCGCTGGACCGTACTCTATGAATACCGGTCTATAAATTAAGTGGATGTCGATTCTCAAAATCGGTCTGGTAACAGAGAATTGGCCGATTTCCGCCAATAACCGATATTGTTTGTCGCAAACAAAAAAGTGATTCAAATAAAATTTTCACAAATACGCGATGATAACAACAATGACGTTCGTAAAAAAATATACTCAAAATTTTTCATGTTTCTCAGTTTGTACTTAAGGATGTCTTTTGAGTCAGATGTTAGCAATTGGCACCGAGATAGAAATTAGTGCCAATTATAATTAATCTGAACAGCTTACAATTTCCACTCGTGATATATGAAAGTATTTCTTGGGTAATATTTCGAAACAAAGGACCAAACGGGGGGCACTAAAGGACACCACGTTTAATTGATTGATCACTTCCCTGACGTGGCGTTTACTATGGCGCGTGCGCGATCATCCCGGCCCGAATCATAACAATTAGTTTTGCTTGATTTTAGTTTGCTGGACGCTCGTCCTCCTATTCCACGGTCTCGCTGTTTTTTTTTGCGAGAACGATCAGCTGTCGAGGTCGCGAGGATCTTCGTCGAACCGGGGAGGTGCGGCGAGATTGAAAAGTCGGTTTTTTCCCGGCAAGTGCGAGACGTAACTCCTCCCGCGAATGATGAATATAGCGTTCGACGCGCTCTTATTTTCGTGCACCTAAGCCGAGTGCAGTTGTCGAGCTATCGTGTGTAGCGATTTGAGCGATTCGCCAGCGTAAAACGATGCACTCGTAAGCGGAGTCAAGTTACGAGAAGCGCGCGACGTTGCTGTCTCAGGAGACGGTGTGAGTCGGATCAGATTCACAGGCTGGTGCGAAAGAAGGTGCGCGAGTGACCGATTGACCAGACGGGACGACGCGACGGCGACGTTAGTTCATTCACAGTGTTTTCGCAGTGAGAAAAAGATGTCAACTCGTAGATGATAATCGCACCGTTATCTTGAGCGAATTACACGAAGATGGCGTCTTCAGAAATTGACGATTTATTGGCCGGACCGCTGGTCACTTGGGTGAGTTCTTGGAAACTGCTTCGGTAGTTTTTCAAGTTTTTTTTTCTTAGAAATTAAAACACATACTTCATAGGTCGTCAGCTGCCTGGAAGATTCTGATGCATTGGCTAATTATGAGGACTTGGTGGATGGTGTCTTGTTGCACAATGTCTTCCTGCAAATGTGAGTTTATACTGTGTGATTATGTCTGTTGACAGTTATCATTGTAACAGTCAATTAGCATAAAGATAGGAAAGATAGAAGTATTTCTGATATTCTATAGCAATCCAGAACCGCTTCATGATGAAGTTGTGCCTTCTGATGGCAATCCTGTTATTCGTACAAAAAACTTGAAGACTATAGTACAAAATATAAAACAATTCTATGAAGAGGAGATGGACAATCTGATTATAAAGTTACCAGATACCACAAATTTAGGAAAGGAACCTGAATTATACATAGCAGATATGAAGTTATTGCTACTATTATTGCTCGGATGCGCCGTTCAGTGTCCGAATCAGGAGAAGTTTATCAGCAAGATAAAAACGTTACATCTGGATACTCAGCTTGCGATAGTGGACTGTATTAAACAGGTACTGTATTCAAAATATTGATAATAAGATGTTAGTGATAAAAACTTCTTGTAGAATATGTAATCTATATATGTAAAATGGAATGTCTGTCTGTATGTACCTTATTAAATCTTGAACCTTTCTGAGCAATTTGAATCAAATTTTGCATAGTTACTCTTAGGATTATATGAAATTTGAGGAGGAGGATACTCCATCGCTTTTCTCCTGATTTCATTTCCTTGATACTTTGTGATAATTTAAGTTTAGATGTTCTACATATAAGAAGCCCAGACAATGCTGGGTAGTTTAAGCTAGTTTTATATAAATTTGTATGATGTATTTAGATTACAGACCACCAAGACATAGTCATTACACAAGATGCTATGGCAAGTGCAAACATGGGTTATCTGTTTGTACAGATAAAAAAATGGACTCAGGAATTGGATTTCTATCGGGAGGTACGTTACTCTGCCAATCTCATGATTGCTTGTAACGGATAACCAGTATTCATTGTCTCTCAAAAGTGTCTACTTCTGATAATATCATATTCTACAAAAAAAAAAACAACAGAAATGGAGAGAAGCAGCGTTGGATGATAGTGTCGAACGTAACGAGTCTTCGAGTAGTGCATCCGAAGAAATAATCAAGGTGCAACAATCTCATCCTGTAACAAAAGCCGAAAGAGAAGATAACTATCATTATGCGGTTGAATTGGCCGACTGGAAGTCTAAAGTCCGGAAACAACGTCAGGAGTTGTGAGTATTTCCATTCTTTGCGTCGCAACCTTCTTTATAACTTCCTCTATACCCACGATATATTTGTAGAGAAGAGAAAACGGAGGCTTTGCTCGAGTGTAAGGAGGAGCTGGAACATAATAAAACATTACTTGTTAAACTGAGGCAGGAGGTACTGTGTATCAGCTCACGCTGCCGTGGCGAATGTATAATTTGTAGAAAATTTGTCATTTCAGAATCAAGAATTGATGCACGAAGCTCGCGCTGCGAAGTCCTACAGGGACGAATTGGATGCCGTGATCGAAAGAGCAGAACGAGCGGATCGTTTAGAGATAGAAGTTTCACGATACAGAGAAAAACTTACTGATATCGAATTTTATAAAACTCGGATAGAAGAGTTACGCGAGGATAATAGGTAATGCATTGATATTTTTTGTTGTTTCTATAGTGTTCCAATAATTAAATAGGAAAAATAGTTTTTACGAAATATTTATGACACATTTAAGGGTTCTAATGGAGACCAGAGAGATGCTTGAAGAACAATTAAGTTCGTCGAGGAGCAGAGCGGATAAAGTATTGGAGCTTGAGTCTGAAATCATCAAGTACAAACAGTTACTTAACGACATGGCATTGGTAAGAGAGCTTCAAGAGTCCAAAAAATATCTTAAATTTAATAACATTGAAGTTTACAGCTGATTTAAAATAATTTACAGGAACGTGCTGCCGATAAAGAAAAGTATCAAGAGCTCGTCGAGGAGAATACGCAACTGCATCAAATAACGAAAGCAGCTGCCAATGAGGCTGCATTGGCTGGATCCAGTGATTCAGAAGAACCAGGTGACTCAATGCATTTTGAGACTTACAGTAAAGGATATTTTTATATCTTTCGTTTTTGAAATCGAAAAAAGATGAATGTCTTGAATTTTTTTAGTACCCGACGAAAACAGACTGTCCGAGCAATTGACGAGTAATGCCGAAAGGAGAGCGTTAAAATTAGAATTGGAAAATCGTCGTTTAAGTACCCTGATCGATTCGATGAAAGAGACTTCATTTCACGAGAATTCGACTCACGTTCTGGAATTGGAAAAAGAGAAGAAGAAGCTTTCGTTGAAAATTGAGTCATTGAACGATAATAACGAGAGACTAACGCAACAAAACTCCGACTTGGAATTGGTTTGCAAGCAAGCGTTGGAAGAAAATAAGAAACTTCAGAATAATCTTAAGAATCAGCGTACTTCCTCCGAGAAGCAACAACACGAACTTCAAGTATGTTCGATACAAATTATATCCTATCTCAGTACTTCGTTTTAATATCGACTTATTTTTCACATGACTATTATGCGTTTTCTTGCCACGTTTAGATTCATCACACGAAAATAATAGAGATGGAAAAGAGTTACGACACCGCGGTGAAAGAGAAACAACGAGTTCAGTTATTACTGGAGAGTGTACGACGACGTGCTGATGACTTGGAACGTACTCTGGAGACGACGAGTCAAAAGGTTGAGGAATTGAAAGTCATCGAGAACAATGTCAATGAGATTAACTCTAAGTGTCTTGATCTCGAATCGAGACTAACGGTGACGGAAAAAGAGAAAGATGCCGCACAACGGGATATTTACAAATGCAGAGAAACGATTGAGGTAATTGTTTTCTTGTTATCTGCAAAATTACAAGTATACATCTTTGCATAATATCCCGTAGGAGAAAGATGTTGCTTTAGACAAAGCAACAAACACGATTGAAGTCTTGGAGAGGAAAGTATTACAACTTGAACAAGAGCTGCAAGATTGCGTTACGCAGATATCCAGGTATGTATGTGTAAAAAGTTTCGTCGTTATATATTAGTTTTGTTTTTAATAATGTCGTGAAACCGTTTTGCCGTAGATTGCAAGAAATCGAGCGAAGCAGCAAAGAACTCGATACCCGAGCTGCTATTGATAGAGAAACTTTAGAAATACTTCAGTCCAATCTCGTCGCGGAGAAACGAAACAATCAACAATTATGTACGATTTTAGAAAAACTCGGCCTTAGTGACAACATACTGTTAACTTTACCACCAGAGACCATATTGGAAAGGTGTGAAAGAAGTTAAATTACTTGGAGACATTAATCTTGTTATCATTACGATTTATGTATGATGTAAATTGTTACAGAATTGCGCAACTACCGGAAATAATAGATTACGTGAAGAAATTATCTCTCGCAGAGGACAGCTGCAACGAAAAAGCCGTGTCTGAGTCCACTGAAAAGGAGAATAGCGATGAATTAAATAAAACCTTGGAAGCTATAATAGAACCTTTAAAGGTACTTACATTTAGAACACGTAAGTCATCACTCACGCGCGCTCCTTGTTATACTTTATTATTTATTTATTTAGCGCGAAGTGGAACAACTACAGATGAAGTCATCCATGTCTCAAACGGCCTCGGAACATTTGTTGTCTGAGAATGCGAAACTTCAGGTTCACATTACAACGTTACAGTCGCAAACTAATTCCTTAAACGCGCAACACACCGCTCTACAATTGGCGAATTCGCAACTTGTCGCTGAAAAAGAAGAGGTAACATTCTCATACATATATTTCGTAGTTTTGATCTGTATTTCTCGTATCGTGCTAATATTTTACTGAATATTAACCATAATTGCGCATCCAGCTTTTGAAGGAACGCAACACGCAGCAGCAGGTGCATTCTGCGCTACTTCGTGATCAAAGCACCATGCAATCGTTGCACGAGCAACTGAACAACGAGTACGAGATTCTGCGCCGCGAGCGAGACTCCCTCAAGTCGAATTTAAGAGACGCAAGGAACGAGAACAGAACGTTGCGCGAGAATGTCGAGCGACTGGAGACGAAAAGCGAAGCGTTGCAGTCTGAACGGGAGGCTTTTGTTAACAACACGAGAAGTTTGAACAATCTCCGAGGAGAACACTCAAAGTTGAAGGTGTGTCAACTGCAAATACTAAATGATCTTCGATTTTACTGTCGAATCTCATCGACATAAGCGAAACTCTTTAATGACACTGCAAATATTTCAGGATGATTTCAGAAATCTGTACACCGCGGGCGAAAGATTGAAGGCAGAATACAGAAACTTGCAGGAAGATTATAGAAAGAATAAAGTCGAGGTAAATCGCTTGAGCCTGAAGCAGACCGAGATGCAGGGAGAGCTCAGTATCAAGAGCGAACGGTGCTCAGACTTGGAGGCCGAAGTTAATCATCTCAACGAACGATGTGAGGTACGGCTGTAATTGTACTGTATCGTAAATTTAAAGCAATTTTCTTTAATCTCCCGTATAACTCCAAACGGTTCTTCTCTTCTAGATGTTATTAGAGATGAACTCTGGGTTGGATAACGACAGGCGTTCCTTAATGGAGCACATAAGTGTACTGTTTACACAATATCATGAACTTTTGACGCATTCGCTTCAGGATAAGGAACATTATCACATGGAAGAAAAAATGTTCACGTTAGTATAACGGCATAATTTTCTTTTGGTAAAAATTTAAATTTTTATGCGCATTGCGCAATGTACTCTTATTCAATTATGAGTTATTTTATAGTGTATCTAAAGATATGTTGATATGCGATTGTGCGTTGCAGGGATAAAGTTAATCAACTGTATAGGCAGAAAGAGAAGTTGGAAGATAAAATTATGGAGCACTACAGGAAACTGAACAGCTGCACTACCAAAAAGTACGTTTAGCAAAGATTTAATGTTATATCCCACATTTTAGATGCAAAATATTACAACTTCTCGTAATAATTCTATACGTTTTTGTTTTCAAAATAGGAAGAGTTTCGGAGCTAATTTAGTTCGCAGAGTCAGGAAAGCTGGGTCGGAGCTTCTCAATAAGGTGATTATAAATGACGATGATTATAGAAAAGAACAATGATGATAAGAACCATGCAAGCACGTACTCGTTTATCCCTACGAGAAGAACACCCACACATTCTTTACACACATACTTCTTAAATCTAGTCTATCTTGTATTTATCTAAAAATTTATATGATAAAAATCTATTTAGGATATTTGAAACATTATCAACAAGTCAAGATTAAAGGATTTTTTTATATTCGCTACATAAAATTTTATTTACTAATACTTGTCTTTGTATACTTTATTTACGTTACATGATATATCTTTTGCACATCTACATACGTCTCGTCTGTCGATTTTACTTATATTATTACTATTATACACTTATACAGTATATATTTCACCAGCTATAATATTGTTGAATAAAAAATACAAAACATTCTCATTAGAATCGACGCTCGTGGGCCGAAGATTCCAAGCAGTCGGACTGTAAGACATACGAATCGGATACAGCCGGGAACGACTCGGATGCGAGTACCGACGATTACCGTTTACCTGGTAAATTATTCATTAAAACAATCGAACTTGACTCGTCAGTCCATGTCAACAGTATGTGATCTGTTTTTGCATAATGTTCTTAGGTCCGAGCAGAATGCTCGAGTCAGACGCGCTCGGACAGGCCGGGACCAGAAGAACCGTATACTACACTGACGATTCTCCGCCGTCGTCCGCTTCTTTGCCGGTAAGAAATGCCTGACAATAAATCAATCGTACCGCGAAGAGCACTGTATTTAGCAAGGAAATTTATGAAACTTAGGCGGACAGACTGCTGGGTGAATCTTACCCGGAGCAAGGAGACGACGCGCAGATAGAGCCGAATTTAAAATCGGAAACGCAGGTTGAGTCGCGTCCCTTTCTAATCTATAACAAAGTGTCGGCAGTCATAAACGAGTCCAAGAACGTAGCTGGGACCCCGATGAAAGACACAGCGCAAGATGAAGCGCTCACGGAACCGCCCGCCGACAAAGAGCCAAAGACTGGAAGTCCGATATGGTACGAATACGGTTGTGTATGAACAAACTCCCTCACACTGCCCACACGATGCTTCCATTAGAATATCCGAGAAAAAAATAATAAGGCGTCTCTTTATACACACACACATATATTCTCGTGATATCGAATGTAACGCTAAATCAAGATTGCTAGGGATGCGCGGTTTGCGTATGTTTGGTTGTAATACGATTGTTTACAAATATCCGAACATTTCTCGAAGCCCGTGACGCTTCGTTAGTCGTCTCTAATCGCTCGAAATCCTTCCGCAATTATTTGCTTTCGTTCCACACATCGTCGATGCTTCCCAGCTTTCGTTTTTATTTATAGTTGTTAATAATCGAAGGTTATTATGGATAGATCATTGTCGAGCCATTCAAATTCGTTTTTCAAGAATCTCTATTTTGGGATTCTGTGTTTTGTCGGAGTCAGAAATTGACGTTTCTAGATGTAAAGAGCGTCTTAAAATCGTGACTTGGAAAACTCGCGGATATCCGCACTTCCCTATCAGTCGCATTTTCTGCGAATCGCACTCTGCAAACAAACGAAAAGAGAGATTAACATAACGTGAATACATGTTTGTTCAAGAGAGATCGGTGAAAACGCGCGAGAAAGTATTACATATACTAAAGATTTTACCATTACTCGTAAATGAACCCACGCGCGTGATTGGACGTAACGCTCCCAAAATTACAAAGTAGATTTAAGAATAGAGCGCCTACGAGTTCCTAGAAAGCTTTTGTGCTAAAAATCGATGCTAAATAATCGTAACATGAGTCGAGTTGGCGTCTGTTATTGACGATTTGCGTAATTCAAGAATTATTCGTCTGATGTGTTCTTTTTTTTATTATATTTTATGTTTCAATTTTTCGTATTTTTTTTTATTAGGATTTTTAGTGAATTTGCATGAAAGGTTAAGCCTCGATCTTTCCTCTTGATATTGAGATCAATTATAAGAAACTCAACCAAGATTGATATTTCCACCTCATGATTGCTGGTGCTGTCTCGCTACGAAACGACATTTGATTGTAATCGTTCAATTATAATTATAATCGATATTATATATCGATTATGATTTTATATAAAGCATAAGGGAGATAGAGAAGTAAAACCTTTCACGCATATTTACTGGATTTTGTGACAATAAATTTTATTCTCTCTTTATTCTCTTTATTTGTGTGAAGAGAAAATCTCGAAAGGAAGAATTCATGAAAGATCTATGGATGATCTCGAGAATGACAGTCAAGATACCGAATAATGAAGTTGCAGCTATATTAACAATAGTGTGCTGATTCAACGTACATCCGGTTCTATTTTTACTCACATGTAATACGAGAACACGCGATATTTCGCGAGGTTTCTGCGTATGCAGTTATCTACTGTTGATAGGTAGATAGAATTCTTACGCTTATTTTTCGGGAATGTAAGATGCAATTGTTCTCTTCTGCGTTGAAGAGCACCGTAGAGACTAATGTAGAGACGTGGACAACGTCTCACGCTGATAATAATGGCACAAACTTGCATTTGCTTTTACATTTGTATCGATTACCTCCATTGAACACTTATCGCGGTGTAAGAGTTACATAAGCTACTTTTTTACATTTCGATAACTTATATTTTTATAGTAATTTTGTGTGTATGTGCTAGATAGGTAATTTAATATACTTGTAGTTGACACACACATACACGCCCGTCTTATGTGTCTCGAGGAAACTCTATCATGCCCAGATTTTGCACGAGATTTCGCACGTAAATGTGTACTTATTACTTACCGAGGCATTGAGTAACACCTGTCGTTTAATCGTGTACTTGCCATTTCCGTTCAAGTATCGTCTTCTAATACGTCTTTCCGCAGAATGAGATATGGTACCGGTATATGTGATATAATCTGTAATTACAATTCCGTTATATATCGCATGTTAAATAAAAGAAACGTAATAAGAGAGAGAAAGAGAGTGATAAAGATGACTCCCGAATATTCTCGATTTCTCGATGCTTCTTCTATATTCTTCTACATTCGATCTTCGACGAGTTGCGTCAAGTCGAAGGGCGTCTCTGAAAACATAGCATTATTGCGCGAACGAGAAGGCCTTCGAAGTCTTCAAATCGAAACGGGATTGTCATTAGGGACATTTTTTTCCGACCCGCCTGACTTTTCTACGTGAAATAAAGCAGCTGCGCGATAGTTGGGCGTCTCGGGTGAGAATCTCACGCATAGTAATGCTCACCGGTTGCCCGATCCCTCGGTTTTTTCGTCGGTTTTTCTGCCACCGGCATTAAGAACGGCCTGGTCAAAAAATTGTCCATCGCGCGCGCGACCCCTTTTCCAAGTGTTTCTCAGGCTCCTCCGTGAATTTGCATATTTCCAGCTAGAAGGAGCCGCCGTACCCTCGTTAAGCCCGTTCTGTACGCGAGCTCCTCTTCCGTTTCTTCTTGTGCAACGTAGAGATACGTCTTGAGGTCTAATTTTTAATAACAACGTTGAATCCTCTGTTATAATTGTCGCGCATTGTTTTCTAAAACAGTCGTTACGAACAATATTAAGCTTCCAAATAGTATCTTTCGGTTCTTTTGCAGTGAATGACTGCGTTTAGCAGAGAAATCTGCCTTGCAACTGTTGTAAAATTCGTGAGCCTGACTGGTATCCTTAGACCCAGTTCCACAACTTACTTTAACCGGAGCTTAACTCATTCAAGTCACAAACTTGCACAGTCGCATTGCTCATATGCACAAAGAGAGAAATTGACTAATCTAATATAAAATGTATCTAACTCAAGAGGGATCTTTTTATCGCACGGATGATTGATTGATTTCCTTACGCATATGCAACGAGTTAAATTTCAGTTGAAGTTGTGTGAAGCTAAATCTTGATCTTGGCTGAATCTAAGAGTCAATCCCAGATTCACGAATTTTACAGCGGTCGTAGAGCAGCTTTCTCTGCCGAACGCAGCCCATGATTAAAGAAGCAAGATACTACGGAGATATACACAGACGCATAATAAAGGGACAGTTTTATTTAACCAAGAGAACAAATCGCAGCCGACGATGCGTTTTAACCGATCCGTCTACCTTGTACTGGTGCGATCGGCGTCTCATGAGCGCGTCCGGATCGCTCGCTCTATGCAAATTGCGAATGAGCGAGTGAGCGAGCGAACGAGCGAGCGCCGCGGCGCCTTTGGTTTCTACCGGCGCTCTCTCACCCTTTCACGGATTACGGAGCTGTCGCAAAAAACGTCCGCCTCGCAGTAACGGTCTGCTGGCAAAACCTCCCTTTCCGCCTTGCTTTTTCTACGTGCGAAAATAAAAGTCTCTCGCGCTTTTCCTACCGGTCCGGAAAAAGGCTGTGGGAGTGGGGGCGGGAGGGAGGGGCAGCGGGGGAGAAAGCGCAGTCGGGATGAGCGGGCGGGCGGAGAAGGAGGGTCGGGGGCAAAAATAAGAACGACAGGAGCACGGGGTGGCGGCGGACTGGGGGCGGCAAAAAGAATCGTAGCGATGTCGGCGAAGGAGGAAAAAGAGCAGCCCGTGGTGGCGAGAGGCGACGAACGGGGGGTGGGTGAACGAAAAGAAAGGGATGAGCAGGGGGAGAGAAGAGAGAAGCGCCGGGAAAGAAACTGAGATTCCGCGAGGAGACGCGAGATTTCGAAAATTTACGGTCGCTCGCGAGGCGACGACGACTGTGCGGCGGCTGTGTCTCGTCGACTCTACGTTTAATTAAATACCTCGTTACTTCATCGTAACAAGTGCTGGCTATTTAAAAATTTGTTTGTAGAGAGCATTCTCACACGAAAATACTCCGCGACTACCAGATTTGACATCAAACAGTTAATAATTTCCGACTCCCTTTTTGGCCGAAGATAAAGCGGCGAGTTGAACTGCGAGAGTGATAGTAAACGATAAAATCAGGTCGATGCTCGATTTAATTTCACGTGGTCTTTGCTCCGTGAAGCTGACGGGACCTCATGTTTTCCATCACGGCTTGTCCATTCTTCACTTTGATTTTATTTGCTCCGATCTTGCTCATCCATCTGCCGCTGTAACACACATTGTTATAACAATTACATCAACAAGCAGTATCGTAATTCAGGAAATTCTCGTTGAAAACTTACGCGCACCACGGCGCGAGAATTATTCTTGCGATCTCTACCTCCTTCGACGCTCGCGTTATCAAATCACGCCGGTAAACAGTTGTCATGGCGGGTTTCCTCACCCTTCGCGCCGCCCTGTAACGTTCAAACGCCAGTACGTGCACGCATGAGGGAGCGGACGAGGAGAGCGGGGACCAAAGATTCTGGATAGGACGTGAATTTTACAGGGAACCCCGTGTCGACGAGGTTTCGGGTACCACCCTGCAAAAATGTCGGTTCCTCGGCAGGCAAAGAGACCGAGAAAAAAGAAGAGAAAGAGAAAGAGAGAGAGAGAGAGAGAGGGGTGGCGTGGTGTACGTACCTACTACTAGGGGTTGAACGGTGCTGAGGCTAAGGTGGCGGGAGGAAAAGGGGCACGAGGGAAGATGGGTTTTTATGACGCGTCCTACCCCATCCCCCCTCGCCCGGCTTTCCCGCCAACCCCCAGGCCGCTTCCCGCTGGCAGGAGCAACGTGAGGCAGGGGCGCGTTTTTGCGACGGCGACGAGGACCAGGGAGGAGCGTATGTACACCACGACGACACCGGTAAGCGGCGGGAACGCCGGACGGACGGACGGACGGACGGAGGGGAGCATCACGGTTTTCGCGTCGTTCCTCTGGAGCCCGCATAGGAGTCTGCACAGAATGCGACCGACCGTCGGCCGATTCGCGAGGCCACGCCTCTCCCTCTCTCTTCTGGGTCGCGATCCGATGGCTCACGAGGGATCGGCGTGCCCTAACCGAATTTCAACCCCCCTGACGGGCCACCGGCCGCCTGGTGTATGATGCTAATATCCGTGGCAGGCAGAAATAGAGGTCTACTCCTTTCCTTTGATCCTGAAACGTATTGTGTGCAACGGTAAATGGTAATAGATTAATTGATCGATTGTTTTGAGAATTTTTTTAACGAGTAACTGTCTCAATGTCAATTGTTTCGACAATTAAGGTGAAAATACTAATTCTTGGACATTCAGAAATAAAGACACAGTGGCAACTACACGGAGAATTTTGTGTAATAAAAATTGCTATAGGATTTCCTAAACATTCACTATCCTTTCATTTCATATATGCTATTTATTTTAGTAACTGAAATTATTAAAACACTTAATGTTTTTAGCAAAATTTACTATATCTCTTACAAGATAAACCTTACTGATAGTCTCTACTCATAGACTACTAAAAACATTGTAAAATTGAGAATTTATATAAAAACAAAAAACTATAATATTTTCTCTATGAATGCAACATAGAGAATAACTCTGTCCAACTATTGTACATAAAATTAATGTTACAGTTCAATAAACTTTATTTTGCAGTTACTGCAACTGAAGCTTTAGTTGCTACATAAACTCAACGTAGTTTATTAAACTATATATGTTACGATTTTACATACAAAAGTCATACAGTTGTCACTTATATAGTTGCCGTCACCATGCTTTTCTCTGAGTGTATCTAATCCTGGATATTTTTATTTGTTTTGGTATTGTCTTTATATGCAAATATTTAAACTTTCTATACAGAATTATACATATATATTCTATGTATATATATATTTTTTTATGCTGAAATTTTAAATACTTGTATTTAAAGACAAAAATAACAAGATTGTCCAGAATTAGATACATATTCAACTATTGGTATTTTGATCTTAAACATAGTTGTATACTGGTTTGAGATTGTAAATTATATCTTGGTAATTGTGTATACATCTGCGGGTAGGAGCTGAGAGAGTTTTCTGTCGTTGTTGAGCGAACGCTCTAAAATAACATGTAGCATGCAGAAGACGAACAAAAGCAACACGTCCGTTACCTACATCCATTCCTCGAGCACTGACGCAATTACTCTTGTTTACTATGCACCGTCCTTGGTTCACAGGCTGTCCCAGTTTCCGCGCTCTTCCTTCCGACCGTGCATTCCTCCTATAGATCTGAATATTTTGCCAAAAGGAGAAAAAAAAACATTATAATCAGAAAGGTTATGGTACGGACGATGATTTTGCGAACGTTATTAATAGACTAAGTATAAGACTTCACCGTCGCGCCTCTCGCGTCTATTTACCTCGCGTCTCCTTCGTCTTTTTTTCCCTTTAATGCCGCAAGAACTTTTGCAAAAACAAACAATAAAATTCGCAGCGCGGCACACACACCGGCGACGCGCTTTCGGGGGAGCCGCGCGCGCTCCCGTCGTCGAACGGTGGCGCCGCCGCGGCGTGGTGGGGGCGACGCGAAAGACACGCGGCGCATTTGCCGCGCGACGCGCAATGTTCGCCGCGCCAGCGTTCGAAACGCGTCGCTGTCTGTCTGCCTCTGCCGCAACGACCTCTTCGCCGCGCTCTCGACATCGCTCGAACGTCCGTCGAATCGTCGTGTCTTCGCTTTCCAACCGCGGGAGAGGTCTCACGTGAGTATCTCGTCGCCGGGTACCCGCGTCTTCGCGGCTCCCCGTGTATCACTTTCGACCGTGGCGGTCATACACGTCACGCGGATCGATCGAGATCGATGATTCGCGCGGCGCGGTGACGCGAGGCGCGCGATCGCCGCCATTTTCGAAATTCGGTTGCCCGCGAGCGTTCGCTCGATCGCGCCTCCCTCATCCTCCTCCTTCTCGTCGCAGTCGCCGTCGTAGTCGTCGCCTTCTCTTCGAATCCGGACGTTAAACAAAGCGCAGTCGGATGCACCTCGTTGGATGCTGCCGGCGGCGCGCCTGGACGACCTGGAAGGTCCCCGTGCTCGCGGCGGTACCGTGAACGGGTGCTGCTGCACCAGGTAGCACCGGTGACCGCGATGGACGCGCGCGTGGTCGTCGGTGGCTCGACCGCGGAAGACACCCCGACGGTGGTCGCCGCGGCGACGGCGGCGCGAGGGGTCGGCACGCCGTCGCCGGTGCCCTCGGCGCCGAGCAACTCCGTGAGCGCAACGACCGGTAACGGCGCCGGCGGAGCAGCCGCGACCCTCGCGTCCGCAGCCTGTGTCCCGCAGAACCCTTCGTCCGTCGTCGTGGTGGCCAGCCCGTCCAGCAACCATCAGCAGCAGGCCGGCGTGGTCCCCGCTGTGCCCAGGATACTCAGCAGGAACGTCAACGGCACGCGTAAGTCAGCCCGGACGCTATTCGCGTCCACCCGAACGGCACGCAAGACGTTTCAGGACGGTATTCATAGTTAATGAGAAAACACTCGAGTGTTCATTTGTGAGCTAACGCTTTCTCTCACAGAGAGAAGTCAATTTTATGTCGCACAAAGAAATTTTCTCAGTGCACATTTAAGATCGTCTTAAGTTCGTCTTCGAGTGCTCCGTAGCCAATGAAATGATTCATACAGGCCGCGAAACACAACGCGCTCAGTGTCTTTTCAGAAAGGATGTTTCAATACTTCAATCAAAGGCGCTAATAACTCAGGTCGATTTTAAATGTAAGCTTCGACTATGAATGTCGTCCTGGAGATCGTAGTTAAGCTCATATCAGACTAGATATTGGAGACTAAGAATTGAGATGATTAGAAATGGGAATTCGATTAAATTGATTTTGTAATAATTCGGCCTTGATTCAATTGTGTAATAGTATATAAAACATGATTTATATTTGGACATAATCTCGTTCCAAGATCGGTACTGGCACTTATTTAGCCCATTTGTACGTTATTTAATCGATCAAAAGTGACTTCGACCAAACTCCGATTAAACTAGCGGACAGCTAAGTGGCAAGCTTCCAATCGAAATTGCCGTTGAAGGAGAAATTGAGACAGAGAAGGAAAGGGGGAGTTCGAAATTTCAGTTGGAATCCTGCAACTTAACTGTTTGTTGATTTAATCGGAATTTAGTCCAAGTCATCCGAATTCAACTAATATCGATTTGGATTCGTTTTATCTCGATTGATTACGTTGCGATCTTCAATCTTTGATATCCAGTCTGATATACAAATCACATAACCAAATGTCCAAAATACATCTCAAAGACGTCACAAAAATATGTGATATCTCTGGGACGTCTCTAGGATATATCTTGGATATTTGTATTGTATGGGAGGCTTTATCAGAATCGAGATAGCCATCATTTTGGCAAATTTTCGCTCAGTTTCACGAGTTATGTTTATTTATCGCGATTGTTTTGACACAATGTTTACGCGAGTACATATGATTCGTCATTCCTTCACGACATCGGTACGATCGCGTGGGTTACGCGATCTCCGTTTTCACGTCCTGCTCCGACAATGAAATCCGTAACTCAAGCGATATCTAAGTTACAATTTCACGCGGGAGAATAGAACGTGCGAGAGATAATATTTCCGGTGAAAATAAGACAGCGCACTCGGTGCACTGGCCTGTTCTTTTCTCTCTCTTTTCTTGAGATTTTCCAGCTGTTAACGTACTTGACCTACGAATTTGACCAATTTCGAAGTCGGCGTAGAAGCAATACTCGTCCATTAAGAAGCTTATAAACCGGCCAGCAGAGTATGGTTCATTAAGGAGATTTAACTTAACCCTTTAGCCTAAACACAGCAAAAAGCGGTCGCTAGCGCACCCGGTTTAGGTGTGAAAGAGTATTTAAAACGGTACTTTAAAGTGTGTACGCGCAAACGCACGATACTTTCTGCCATAACCGATGGAAAAAAGCCGGTTACGTCGTTCCGCGTCTTAAAATGAGCCGATTCACGGCCGCGGTGGTCTCAGGTCTCAATTGTTTCTTCTTATATCACGAGTAGGAAACGCGAAGCGCGTGTAACGCGCGCACGCGGCTGCGTGAATTTGTGGCTCAATTTATAATCGGTAGCCGATCGATTTCATGCGAACTGATAGGTATAAAATCGCGCGTCGATTTAATTACATCCAGTCTACTGGGAATGCCCGTTCGGCGAATATAAACGTCACCCTTGGCGATCACTTCCTACTCACACTTGCATAATATATAATTAAAGTCACGGTGTAAGGTAAAAGTGCCAATTCTTGAACACGTACCTGATCCTGAACATTCTTAACGTTTTGGTCCATAAGTACGAATATTTAAACTTTCAACATAAAATATGTATATTTTATGTTGAAGGTTTAAACTATTCGTATTTAAAGACCAAAATAATAATGTCCAGAGTTAGAAGAACGTGTTCGGGAAATGATATTTCTGATGGAATCAGAAAAGGTCGATGCAGACTTCAGAGTGTTGAAGTAGACGTTAAATAGGATCTTGAAATCGAAAGTGGAATGAAAATTCCAAATGAAGGGATGATTTTTTCCCACTTCGGGGTGCCAGCTCAGGGAGTGCGAAGGCGCATTTATCGACTGTTTGTCGAGGAGGGTGAGAGAGAAAGAGAGAGCGAGCGAGAGAGAGCGAGAGAGAGAGAGAGAGAGGGGCCTGCGCTCCGCTGTTTCCCGCGCGTAGATTTTGATATAAGGCGCTCCGCTTCGCGGGTTCGGCTCATTTCTTCGCTTTTTGCGGATCGACCGCTATTGCGAGCGTCTCGTATATCCGCGGGCTCGTTCCTGAAGCGCGCGGGTCGCATTTCGGTGGCGAACACCGCGCTCTCGCACAGCGGTCCCGGCGAGTTTACGCAAGAAACGTAATCGCCAGCAGTTACCTCTCGGCGAAGCGAAGAAGTTTCGACCGAAGAGCTACCATGGGTTATCGCGCTTTTGTATGTGCCTCTCTCTTTCTCTCTCTCTCTCTCTCTCTCTCTCTCTCTGTCTCTCTCTCCCTTTCCCTCTTTCTCGTCGAGAAACTGGATGAGTCATACCCGCGACAAAAAGCGCGCAGCTCGCGCCAGAAAAACATGATTTTTCTTCCTCCACATATCTCGACGAAACTGCGGCCGGGCTCTTCGTCTACTCCGAGCGTTTCACCGCCGACGACTCGCGCGGTGCATCGCAACAAAAACAGCCGCCTCTTGGAGCGAGTTCGATATCGTCGCTCGTTTCGGAAATTCTTCAGGGACGCGCATCACTCCGCGTTCGGCATCGTTCCGCCGCGAAATTACGCGGGCAGACAAGTGTGCGTGAATTTGACATCAACTTGTACTAATCGACCTGCGTCCCTCGGACGAGTGGTTCACACGGCACTCATATCTTTACCGTATAGAATGACGAAATGTGACAATATGGCCTTTTTTAATATGTTGGCAGTGGTAGTAACTGTCCAACGTGACCTCAGAGTCACAAACCTTAGGAAAATGAAAAATTAGAAAAAGCAAATAATACTTTATAATACTTATTGAAGAGGACCACATCCAATGGTCGAAACGTCTATTTTGTATTTATTAATTTTTTATTAAACATGTAACATCCGTAACTTGGCTCTTTATGTCCGTATTATTCATTTGATAGAAAAAACAAAATTTTACCTTATACGTATTGAGTACTTCAATTTTAAACCTATGTGCATGTGTCTTAAACATGAGATATTAATTTAGGCAGTAGAGGGTTAATAATTAATTCGATACAATATCTGCTCCATAAATGTGATTGAAAGAATCGTAAAGTTTCCATCACCGATTGTCTCACGTCGCAGTAATTATAAAAGTCTATCTGAGTCTATTTTGTGGGTGTTCTCTCGTGATTTCCCCGATGCGCGTTCGCGCCGAAACGGGCCGCGTGCTTACGGCGGGAGGTAATATCTCGAACTGTGCCACTCCCCCCGATAAGAGGTAATTACGTCTAGCTTTCGAGCGCGCTAAAACGAAAGCTACGCGAATTTTTAACGGAAGCCACACGAGCGGAGTTAGCATATGGCGTGGTGAACGCGCGACGCGTAACCCGTGTTAACCCGCGCTCGCTCTTTTTGCGGGAAATGTTTACCGTTCGGTATCAGCGACATCAACGTGCTGACAAAGTTGGAGCAAGCGGAGCAAATAATTAGTAAACAGCAAGAACGTACTCATTAAAAAGATAAGATCTTTTTTATCACGGGATAGAGATGTGTCTCTCTCGGCGAGGCGTGAAACGTGGCGCGTTTTATCCACGGGAGAAACACACTTTTATTATCGAACTTTTATTCACATTGTCGGGACGAGAGAATTTAGAATATCAGACGTGGGATTTAGAATATGTTTCTGCGTTAGATTGCGTGTATTCGCGGCGTCGTCACTTTATTCTCTCGATACCATCGATGTCGATCGATACTGAAGCTTTCGCGGTGCTGCTTGGTCGATACTGTCGATACCGTCGATACTCTGACGTCTTTGGGCAGAGTTGGAACGTTTAAACGCATAAAATATGATACTCCAACATAAACTATAATATATGAGATGCGCTCTCATCTATGTAGACGATGAATAATCTGTGGATATTGTTCAAAGAACGTGTATAGCTTGCTAAAGAATTAATTAAGAAGAGTTTATCTTGTTATTTACGTTTCAGAATCCCGGAATTTATAAACATTGTTTTATAAACAAATTGGTGTGTTCACAAAATTTTTTTCTTGCAAAAATTACAATGTAACTTTAGTAGCTCCTGGGAATAGACTGGCACTATGATGAAAATTATAACAAGACGTAAAAGTGACCATGAACATGGTAAAATTTACTCTCTTAATCCTTTAAGGCGCATAATTCATGGAACATTCTAGTGACTTTTTTTTAATGAAATATTGTCAAAAACTCTAAAGCACATTTATAAGGTTTCAACTGCTGAATCCTATCGGTATCAATGACACTTAAAGGGTTAAAGTGAATCAGTAAATAGTCACTGATATCAGTTATGAGTATAGCACTGAGCACTTTCATTGCTATACTTACAACTGCAATCAGTGTATATTCACTGTTTTCAGTGATGTTTGACTAATTCACTTTAAGAGAATACTTTAAGAGAGTATATTTATGATCATTTTTACTATAATTTTTATTATGATTTTTGTAACAGTGTCACTCACCCTTATAGAAATATCATACTAAGAATCATTGATAATTACTTATTTTCAGTATTAAAAATACTGGATAATAAGTAATTATCAATGATTCTTAGTATGATATTTCTATAAGGGCTGTTCTCGGACTATTAAAATTGCATCGTAATTTTTGCTAATCGCAATATTCTCGCCGTGTATTGTCTCTGTGACAGAAGATCGTGCACACGTCACGTGGACAATACGTAAACAATCCGCGTGGACGTA